GCGATAACTGAAATTATGCATGCGCTTTCGAAACACATTTTATCATTGTCTTTTCCTCGCCTTTCACCCTGTGTCAATTTCATTCGGGGCGGGCACACTCGGCCGACTCCATGGGCTCTTTCGAAGGCGAAGAAAGTAAAGAACACGCGAATATTATATTATTCTGATCCGGAATTAAAGAAAGGAGACGAATTTTTATTTTTTAATTTTTGTTTTTTCAAACATGAGTATCGTGTGAGACTATATGATATTATAAGAGATATAAATTTCATCGAAAGATGGAGTAATTCCAAAATTTAATTTTCCTTCATTTCCTTTAATTTTTTTTAAAAATTCTTAAATTAAGTTTAGGTTCTCCACTTGTTAAGTACTTCTAAATATTGCAATTTTGAATTGCTTTTTGTTCCTCATTTCGTTATTCGCTTTAAATAATTTTCTCGATAAAGGATAATTATTGAAAATATCGTTAATAAAATACTGCAATATAGCAAAGACACTGATATTATTATTTTCTTTTTATTTAACGACATCTGCGAAATACTTACAGCTCGTTGAACCATCATCACTGACTCCATCGTTTGTCTCGTGGACAAAAGAAGTGTAAAAAACAGGGGGAAAAATTAACGCGACATGGAATTAAAAAAATTTCTTACTTTGGAGGGATTTTTTTACGAGTTCCTCCGGCATCTGAAAGGGTGTAAACGACTATAGGTTGGAAGCAAGTGCGAGAAAGAAGTCGAGTCGCGAGTCCCATTGGCAAAAAGAATCATTCATTCCCCGAGTTATAAAGTTTAGGGTTTCATGGCTTAATTAAAGTCTACGGGGCAACTTTCGACGAAAATCTCTTCGAAAAGAAATATTCTCTCTGCCGACTCTTCCATGTAGTAAGAAATCCGTTCAACAAGTGGGATCGTAAAACTGTCAAATATATTTCCTCGAGTTTCACTTATGAAATTATCGCTTTTGTTTGCGCGAGATAATCTGGCAAAAACATCGATCGGCGGAAGAATCATTTTGCAACTTTTTAACCCATCACACGATATTCCATAGAAATATCCATGGGTACCGTGTATCCTTCTGATATCCTTTTATACTTTTATATTTTGACACAGGAGAAAATAACCCTCGAAAATTATTACGATTCATCGAATATCTATATATGAAAGTAATTGCGATGGAAATTGAAATTTGCAATAATTTTGAACTCGCGGGGATCAATATTAAATACCTTTTATGAATCGTAACGAGTTAGAAGCTGTGGAATATCAATTTGGAAATATTTACAAAAACGACCAGAATTTGCAATAATTTCGAACTCGTCGGTGTAAATATTAAACGTCGAGGCAAATATGATATTGTCTTTAATTTTCGCGATAAATAAAAACAATTACGTTAATTACGCGATTGCATGAAATGGAATATATATTCAGTTGTTGAAACAGCGTATAATAAAATATGGCAGACGTTGTCGGAGGCACGGAAGCAAAGAAGTGGATGAAACTCGAATACAATTCGACTTTTAACCAGCACGTAAAGATAGACCGTATGTGGATATGTATATAGAGCGTATAAGGTACATTGCCTTGATTTCTCTAGGGTATCGCTTTTTTTCCGCGAGAAATAGAATGCAGCAGCCGATAGAACACCAATGTTATTAACTTTCTACATAATTTTTCCAGTCGAGCGATTAAATCAAAAATTTCGATCGTAAATCAAACGAGGAACTCCTGTAATCGATTTTGTTTCTAGCAAATGCTGTCGCAACTAATGCAAATAATAATTTAACTTCGCCTATTCAATTATATAAATAATTGAGTTACTACATTGGGAATTACACCAGCATCGACCTGTTTGAAATATTTAATGTTTAATGTTTATTATATTCGTACCAAATATTTGCTTCTCTATGTTTACAATAATTAATAATAATTGTAATTTCATTTACTTTTTTATAAAATTAAAAGCAATTGCTAAATCACAGATTTTTTAGTTTCTATTTAATTATGTTTTAATGTAGTCTAAAAAATTTTGAAGACTATTTTCACACGTACATAATGTAGGAAAATACTACGAAAAAAAGACATGAAATTTTAACGAGAAAGCAGGTAAATTGGAAATTTTGTTACAGAGGAACATACTAGTATCGATTAATATCTACTCTGCGAATCGATCTACTTTTCACTAATGAGAACAGTATACTGTAACGTGAAGGAAAAATTACAAAAATTTCCGAAAATCTCGAATTTAATAGTTATAACCAATAATAACAAATACCATCGAAATATTTTGAAAATTGCTTCAAGAAGGAATGAAAAAATATACGAAAACAACGATCACTGTATCTAATGATACTTTCAAAGAAGCACTCGAATTACACTGGCAATCTGACTTTACAGTTACTAGTTTTCTGCTCTGCTTTGGTCTAATTTAATAACAACTATAGTTCCGATTTCGCATAATCTACTTTCCAAGCTACCGCTATTTTTAACACGTTTTAGACTGTTTCAAAGGCAATTCTCTTTCTTCTCATTGTAACATAATATTCAACGCGATATTTAAAATCCGATAATTCATTAAAATATATAAAATCGAATGGATAAAACTAATAAAATATGGATTTCCCATCAAACAGTCTAACGATAAGCACATGCTACCTTGGTATCGATTCCTAGCAGCGATTGAAAGGCCAGTTCGCATCGACCTTCTTGTTCATCCTATATATCGTCGATAAAATATTTATTGCGATAAAATAAACATAAATCGATAGGGGAATATGTACAGAGTGTTTCGAAACGATGTAACAGAGTCTTCTGGTATAGAAGTGATAAAGATCAATAAAAGGAGTCACGGAAAAGGCAGAAAATAAAATTTAGGAACTTATTTCTTCGAGAAATTCGAACAAATGGAAATCTCGATCGAGATTATTAATAGGCCTTGAAAAGTGTTTTCCACCTGTGCGAGAAATAAATTTATAGAAGCAATTCGAGTCACTCGGCGGTATGACAGATTAATGCAATATTCACCTGTATCCTAATTCGACAGTATGCTCCCTTATAAAAATAGGACTTTTAGACTGTAATAGATATTTCGTCCTTATTTTGAAATTTACGGATACAGGTCACTCAGGGCCATTGATACCTAATCTCTGCCATACCACTCGACTGTTCTTTCTTCAATCGTTACCTAAGCTATTCCGATCCCGATCCTATTTTCAACTATTCAGAGCACTGCTGACGTTCTTTACCTCCATCGTTCAAAAAATTCAGCAATTTCAATACTCGTCAAATTCAGGAGTCAAGAAATACGATTTATTCTCGATCACTGGTCGAAAAATAACCTTCGAGAGGGTCAATGCTTGGGAACTACGCTATAATACTTATGCATTTATAGCCCGTAAACACGAAGTCAGATAATTTGCAATAATAACGATGAAGTGTTACACGATCTTTGGATCGACGAGTTAATATTGCTATAATGCTATATATAAATACTACTATAGAGTCACACCGTTTTTAGTACGCTGGAGAGTAGTAGAAACTTCGGCTAAAATTTTTGCAGACTGAGGACTGCAATTAATTCTAGCTGGCTGAACCTTGACAATTAATGACTGCTTTAGTAGCTATCTCAACTAACTGAAACTCTAAAAACTGCCTCTATTTTTCAGAACGGGCCCTTTAAGCACGAATGGAAGGCAAGGGCCTCCCCCGAAGGAGGAGAAAACTCCCTCCGCGCCAAAATTAGGGGTGGAGGAGACTTCTCCTTCCGGGTTAGGCCCTTCGAAGACTCACCCCGGCTTACGACGGGGAAATGACTCCTACTACTCATTTGGCAGTTAGATTCTAAGTGCTGAAGCCTAATTCTCTACATTAGACTCTTGAACGATGCCTCGTGTTCGGTGACCCGAGATAAGAACGAAGTTTAATCATAATAAACAAATAAATATTGAACCTCGAATTGCTCAGCATTTAGGATTTGACTGTTAGAAGACCCTAACGTGTCCTTACAGGAACACTTCTATCATTGCACCCTAATAAAGCCTAAAAATATCCTACACTATTTTAAACATGAGAAAAATATGGTATTTTTCTTTTCTCTGCAGCAAAGTATAGTTAAACCAAGAAAAGGTATAGACCTGTCAAACAATCGAAGCAAGACACTGTACACTTTGCAATTTTTTCAAAGTTTCAAAGCTTTCGAGGAACATACCAAATATATCGAGCACAACGTAGACTCATGACACCATAGACTCCGAGCACCATGTCGCGTTCATGGCGCGTGAAACACTCTGTAGAGAAGAGGGTCGAAGCGAACGAGCCGGACGCTCTAACTACGCCTGGAACAGTCTCGCGTCACAGTCGTCATCGTGTGTACACAGTGGAGGAGAAACAATATGCACGAACTTCTCGCAAGCTATCGTCAGCTATTCTGCAAGCTATTCTTTCTCTCATTCTTTCTCGCTTTCATTCCGTGTCCGCGGGTTCCTTTCGCTTCCTTTCCCCTCTCTCCTTCTCTCTCTCCTTTCTTCCCTATTCTGCCCGTGTTTCTTTGGCCGGTTTTGTCTCGCGCTTGTCTCGTTACCGAGAGGAACCACCTTCCGGTCGGCGAGGTCCGGTGGAAAAGCCGTGGAACGACACGGGGAAGGAAGGGACGCGCTCGAAGGAAGAAAAGTATGCTCGAATAGTTTAAGTCACGCGGGCTGGCACGTTTGGTTCGTGTGCAGCGCTTCTATCGGCTGATGGGTGAAAATGGATGTCGTACAGAGAGAGATGCTTGGTGATGATGGCGGCTGCTGCGGTGGTTTTCTTTTTCATAGCTGGCAGTGGTGCAGTTAAATGCAGTGCTGTGAGGTGCAGGCACACACGCATATAAGTAGTGCAGTAGTAGTAGTAGTAGTAGTAGTAACAGTAGTAGTAGTGATGGTAGTAGTAGTAGTAGGTAGTAGTAGTAGTAGATAAGGTAGTCCATTACAGGCGGACACAGGTTAATGGTAAAATAGTTACCCGGGTCTTGGCGCCGCCAGAGTGATCTCCGCTCGCGGAGGAGGAAGGACTCACCCGGTATCCACCGAGGTTGCTCACCACGCAGGTGAAGGTTGCGTCTCGACCCTGCGAGATCGTTATGTTCTCCAACCGGCGAACGAAGTCTGGCTCGAAACCCGCCACTGCAACATAAACGAGATCATTTTTCTTAGCGTCACAGCGTTTAAATCATCCTTTTATTCTTATTTTTATTTCTCCTCTTTTCTCTTCGCCATTCCTACGCGTAAGTGTAGGTGTCTCGGTGACTGTAGAGATATTTCGACGGCGGAAGTGTGGAACGATTGTTGGGTCGAGTAGATTTGTGTAGGGCAGAGTAGAAAAATGGATCGTGCCGCTATTTTATGGACCGTTTATTTTTCTTTTCCCTTTCCCTTGACGAGTACGCGTAGGTGGTTTTGGATAGCGGGCACGAAGAGAATCAGATGTTTCGATGACTAGAGAAATATTCGAGTCGTGGCAGTCCGATTTGTGGTGCAGTTAAAACGATTATTGGGTCGAGTAGAATTTTAGTTGGGATTTGAACAGATTTTGGGTATTGCTTGGTAATTTGTTTCGTGGTTACGTGGTCAGTTGTTTCGGAGGGAAATGGGTCGCCTTGGTATCGGTGATGGTATTTTGCAACAGTATTCCCGATTAAAAGATCCATATCGAAAGAAATTCATCGTACGTCCACGTATGCAATTTTTATCCTTCGTACCATTTACATTTAACCAAACGGGAAATTTAAATTTTAAAAATCTTCACAATTCATTTATAACGAAAAGCTGCTCTTTGTACCGTATTCCGATTCCACCATTTTTTCAAATAAACTCCATTTGACTTTTCGCTTTATAATTCTCTAGATCCACAAATTTCCACTGATATTCCAAAAAATTCGTAACTCTGATAATTAGTACGAACATTCGCGCCGCTAACTGCACAGGTATATAAAAGGAGACAAATTTGGTGGACGACGTGCAATAGCTCGAAAATTTGGAAAATAGGATCTATGGACATAATAAAATCCGACGTATAAAACGAGCTAGCCGCGTATCTGGAATCGGATTGTCCATTTTCTCGAATCGCGAAAAAAGGCTGGTTCCCAAGCCGGGACTGCGTACGACCATTTTCGAGATTGATGCCTTAAATTGCCCTCGCGTCGATTTCAGCGCTTAATTCCGCCAGATATACCGCGTGAGACGCGTGAAGCTATTTAAACGTGTATTTTCGTTCCACGAAAATTGGAAAACTATTTTCCATCCCGACATAAACAGATTATCCCGGTGTTAAAAGTTCACGGAAACTTCGCCGTGTTTTGACATTTATATTTCTATCCGAGGCACTGGACAAAGAAGACAGTCTAATTTCTTAAGAGAAGGTTTACATTTGCATTCGCCTTCTTCAAAAGATGCTGCCTTTTTAGTCCACTTTCGGGAAGTTAACGGTTTAATTAAAAAGGATTCGAGTAACTTTGAAATCTCGGCGAAAGATAATTTCAAACCACGTTCCACTCTCCACTATTATCACCCACATCGTCGTATTTCCAAAATACAGACCGAACACGTTTAATCTCTGCTTCGATCAATCGCACGACGAAAATCGGGTTTAAAATTCGACGCGAAATAATATCACCCGTGAGAGGAGGTAACAATGATAAAGATTTACCGGGTGGTACGCTAAGTGCGTATACTTGTCACGTTCGCGGCGTTTTCCATCATTTTCCATCATCTTCGATCATTCCGGTCATTTCACGCCGGAGAAAGGCGTATATGCGCGAGTGTATCGAGAACGTGTCCTACAAATCTATAACGGCAAACGTAGTCTCAAATTCTGCGGAGAATTTTCGCCCCGAAATTCGCCGAGTGAAATTCACGCGGTAAACGCGGTAATTAAATTTCGCGGGGAAAAATTTTCGCCGCGTCACGCTATTTCGGCAAGGCACCGGAGCTTCACGACCCACCAGACTGTGTCACAATCTCTGTTCATACGGTACGTCCCAAGACTTCGATTACAGATAAGGGAAATTTGCTCCGAAGGAAAAGGACCGACGGAATATTCTCGCGAACCCAATAATAATTAACCGCGGGAGGGAAAAAGGCTGAAAAAAGAGGAAAAATATGACGACGAGCATAAACGAGGGCCCGAAGAAGAGTCTAATTTTCAGAGACATCAGGTTTCTTAAGAGAATGTTATCTGCAAAGCAAGCAACGTCGAAAAGTTTTACTGGCGCACACTTCGGATGCTTTATCTTCCCTGGTACAGAGCAGCGCGGAAAATTCTGCTCCTCGAGATTTTCATTTTATCGTCTCTCTTAAAGAGAGTCCTACTATCTCTGAGGAAACGCCTTTTTCCTATATTTTTTTTTCCTTATTTTTTTTCCAAGCTAGTGGTCCCGATTCGGTAATGATTTCAACACGACTTTTGGCAGAATTTTGACAGAATTTTCACAGAATTTTGAAAATAAATAAATAAATAAATAAATAGAAAAGGAAAAATTGATAGTGTCAGTGGAATTCTGGATTGTAATTAATTGTTTCGACTTCTTAATAGGATCCCATGAGTGCACTGTGTAATTGAAATTCGCGAGATGTTGCTCCGCGTTAAGGGACACGAGGAACTGAAAATTTAAGGGATGTAAGGGATTAAAAAGTAAATTCGCAGGAGCGAACGTCCACTGTAAAAAAGTAGTCGAGATAACATTACTCCTAGAGACTCGTAGAGGAGCGAGATAACCACTCGCATAACTAATGGTCAGGGTTATGGATTCAAGTATCCTCCGTGATAATCGTTAGTCTTTGCTTCCTTCCTGTTCAACTATGCTCGTGTTAGAGACGTTTCGCTAAAATTTTCTCTCGCTCAAGGATTTCCTCCTTTCAAAGTTTGAAAAACTGAAAAAATAAATAGATAAGGTCGTCCAAGAATTTCGGAATACTTTAAATTATTTCAAAAATTCGTGGAAAATTATAAACATTCGACAGAGAATATAGAAAGAGAAAGAGAGAAACAAAAATGAATCCAAAGAATAAAATCTAAAGTAAATCAATGAATAAATATATTTATACTAATTTCAAAACCAAAAATGAGAAATACTACGACACGGGAAATTTATGCAATTTAAAATAATTTCTTCGTTTTGGGAGCAATGATAACCGATATCGTAATATTTATACATTACGTTATTACGTAATTAATTGGCATTATACGTCCATTAATAAATTGAAATCGATACAAAAAGGGGAAAATTGATATCGCGTATCTGTGCAGATCAATGTCGTAATCGCGGCTAATAAGGCAAAAATTGTAAAGATCGAACGAAAGCACGTTTTCTGCTGAAATTTAATTACCGTATTTCCCAGCGAATACGTAATTCGGTGGGTGTAAGTACAACGAATAATTTACTTTTCGTTCATTCGTCGGGGCAACTGCTTTTCGAAATTACTCACACGAAAAATGTGCTTCCCAATCAGCGGACACGCCTATGTACCACGTAATTGTTAATCTACCAGCTTGTACGCAACACAATGCTTTTCAATAATGTATTCGCCAGCCATAAATTTGATAACAACAAACAAAGTACCCAGCAACGGAACGATAAAGTTACACAGGCTCGTTTGATTTAATATTCATTCGCGTATTCTCCATATATTTCTGGAAACCTCTTTTTCTATGTGGAAATAAAAAGAAATAAGTTAGTTAAAATTCGAAACAATGTAAAATTGTCACGTGATTATCAAGGTACGAAAATATAGATGTAAATAATGTCGAAGATAAACGATTTGATCGATGTCAAAATATATTTACATTAATTTCGCTGGAAATGTAAAATAATTCGAAATAAACAAATTTACAGCCGTGATAAATCGTGATTTACGAGGATCAACGAAATAAACAGAAACAATGAAGGAATTTATTAAACTCGCCTGTAACTTACGATGCAATTCATATTTATTAATGCAGCGATCGCTGCTATATTTATAAACGGTACAGCGAGGAAAATTTGTAATTCGTTCGGTAGTTTCGGAATATAATTCATTTCACGTTCTACCATCGTCTCGATTTTGCTAGATCTTCGTCGAATAGAGGTCTTCTAAAACTCTCGGTACGCTGGCAAAGTATTCCTTTCGATTATGAAATAAATGTATGCGCATATTCATGCAGAAATTTCGCGCAATTGACTATTTCCTGGCATACACGATAAGATATTACATTTCCTATAGAGCGCAGAATCGAATTAACCACATTTCGTGTAAACGAATTTCGCGTGGGAATGGATCGGTAAATTGCGAAACGAAGCGTTAAACGTCGAATTTTTAAATCGAACTCTTCCTCCATTTACATTTGACTTTGATTTACCAAGAAACGTGAAAATAACAAGGAATGTAGAAATTAACGCGACACAAATCGCCTGTCAACAGTTGACATCCACGATTTTTGCATTACGTCCATACTCAATTCACTGAAACTTCGAATACCCTGATTTTCAACGCAGAATTACAATACCAAGAAAAGTGAAAATAAGGAAAAATGTAGAAATTAACGTGACACAAATTATCTGTCAACAGTTGACATCCACGATTTTTGCATTACTTCCATACTCAATTCACTGAAACTTCGTATACCCTGATTTTCAACGCAGAAATATAATACAGCTAACCCTCCTATAACACGGTAGATAGGTTCCTAGAAAATGCTGTGTTGTGTGAAACCGTGTTGTATGAGACCCAGAGCCAATACAAAAAAGGGGGTTACGTTCCGAAAACTTAGTAAAAATAAATTTTTTTTTAAATTCTACATTAACAACTTAAGTTTTATTAAAAATATAAATGTATGTACAACGCAAAACAAAAAAGAACAAAAATATTTTAATTCAACGCAATTTTAATTTAACAAATTTCGTCGTCGTCAATGCTCATGTAGAAGTACAGTGCTGTACACAGGTTTTTGCAATTTTCTTATCGTGTTAGAGCGAAACCGTGTTATAGAGTGCCGTGTTGTAGGAGGATTTCCGCAATTTATGAATCGTGTCATAATGAAACCGTGTTATAGGATGCCGTGTTGTAGAAGGGTTTCCGCAATTTATGAATTCGTGTCATAGTGAAACCGTATTATAGGATGCCGTGTTGTAGGAGGGTTTCCGCAATTTATGAATCGTGACATAGCGAAACCGTGTTATAGGATGCCATGTTGTAGGAGGACTACCTATACTCGATATTATTTGATTTAAAGCGGCATACAGTGCATACATTATGTAGCGTTCTATGTGTCGAATCTCTTCGACTTCCAAGAACGTTTATAACGTGTGAAATTAATAATGCGTGATTTGTTTTGTAATATTAGGGATCGCGAGCGTGATGTTAAAATGGAGTGTTTATGTACAGTAAAAGTATACAATAGTTATAGCAGAGACGTTTTTAATAAAAAATAATTCATTGAAGTATTATAAAAGAACATACCAGAAACTAAATTATTGTACACAAACAGAATTTATGGTAGTATGATGTAATATTAAAAAATATATCGAAAAATAAAATGTATATTAAAAATATGTACAATATTTTATATTGTATATATTTTTTTCATACTGTATTATATATTAATTATTATATATTATATATTATATATTAATGCATACCAAATAATTCTCAAATAGTATCAGAAAGAAAACAAAATTCCTAAAAATAATAAAAATAAAAGACAGAGCTGTGATAAAGAAATCGACCTATACACGAGTATCACCAACGAGAAAGATGTGGTAAGGAAATCGGGCGAAACACGACTATTGCGAGGAGAGAGAAAGAGAGAGAGAGAAAGCCAATAGCCTAGCCATAGGGCCGAACGTAAACATCACTGGTCAGGCTCAAGGCTAATCTCCGACGACGTTTCCTCGTCTCAGTCGAACGTTATTCCTCGCCGCGTTCGCATGAAATTTGATCCGTTACCATAAATACGCGTCGATGTTTTTCTACCCAGCCAAGTGAGACTCGTCAGTTGCATGTATTCTTCCTCGCATTCGGCCGATATCGCTCGACGTGCGACTGTGTAACTTCGCTATTGAGTGTGCTACGTGCCATCGAACCTTAAACCGTTAGGTAAGGAGTTAATAGTTTGCTTGCTACATATATATACACACAAATGCATAGGCGCGTGTGAGTGGTTGCCGAGCGAAGAGAAGTGCGAAGTCCAAGGATTTTTCTAGAGAGTTCGGTCACGTGGTAGCGACAAAAAAAGAAACCGTTATAACCGTCATCTAAAACCGTTACATAAACCGCGTCAGTCGAGCCTCGTCCGTCTATAAAGCAACATCTCAGAACCGGTGTCTATCTATTTCTATACCTTCGGCATATATTCCAATACAGTACTTAGACGTCACAATACTTTTAACACATTACCGACTTTTCTTAGACATTCACGTACTTGCCTTTAATAGTTTTGTCAATTCTGCTTCAATTTTGATAGGGTGAAATCACGAAAAGTTATTGCATAGTTTTCAATTTCCTCGTTTATAGTTTCTAAATCTCGACTGCCTCTGCTGATTTTCGGCCCTACTTGCCTGGGATAGACTGTTTTAATTAGTTTGCCCGTTCTTTCTGCATTTCGACCTATTGTGTTTGAAATATAGTACCGAATAGAACAGGCCGCGGAAATCGGTTTCGTTGTTTGACTTTCATCGCTTACATTTTTCGAATCTC